TACTAGAGATTAAACCCAGGGCCTCTGCACTGAGCTACATCCACAGCCCTTTAAATTTTCTTTTTATTTTGAGGCACACTCCTACTAAGTAGCTAAGTTGCCCAGGCTGGCCTCCAACTTGTGATCCTTCTGCCTCAGCCTCCCAGATCGCTGGGATTACAGGCATGCACCGCCATGCTTGGCTTATTTGTTTTATTTTTTACATATGTTTGCATATTAATAAGATTTCACAGTTTTCTATAAAATGTATTAGTCATTTATCTCTTCTTTTGCAATTGCTTGTTTAGGTTTTTTCCCATTTTTTTTCTAATGATGCAGGCTTTTTTTTTTAAAAAGTACTGATTGATAAAAAGTGTTTATCTACTAGGAATAGTAACTGCTTGTGAATTATCCCCCACCATTTCTGGTACTGGGGATCAAACCCAGGGCCTTGATCATGCTAGGCAAGCTCTGTACCCCTGAGCTACACCACAGCCTGACCTTGTTTTTGTTTTCCTTGCCCAACCCAATCTTTTAATTTCAAAAGATGTTTTACTAACCACACCCAATCTCTATTAAACTTTTAAATACTAACAAAACAAAGGATAGTAATGAATAACCTGTTTATAAGGTACTTGTTGTAGGCCAGGCATATACAAAACAGCCTCTGAGGTAGGGTCTGACAGCAGTCCCACATAACAAATGGGGAAACCGAGGTGAATTAATTTTCTCCAGGTTACTCAGCTGGGACTGTCTGTGCTGGTGTCAGTTGATTAGCAGAATATACAGTAACATATGGCTTTTGTGAATTCAATAGCGCTTTTTAATAAATATATCTTCTGTGAATCACAAAAGTATCTCCAAGCATTTGCAAATCTGTCTTCCATATGAGTTGAAGGCGCCTAATCTATTCCTTCCACAGGCAGCGCTTGGTGGATGTATAAATTCAACTACTGCCTTTAATAATTCCAAACCCTCCCCATTCTGTCCCCCATGGTGTACTGTTAAGAACCAAGAGATGGAGGTTTTATTTTTCCAAAAGGGGAAACCAGTCTAGTACATGCAGGAACTTTCTCAGGATCTTCTAAAATGTCTGTGGCACAAAAAGGGCTGAGATCAGGGCTCAAGGTACCCAGCCACCGTCAGTGTCCCTTGTTAGCAGAGGACACAGCAGAGGGTGCTGTGGTGGGTACCACACTGGACCTGCCAGATTCTCGTGGTGCCAACTCTAGGGAAACCCAGTGGGCACGTGCTCCCGGTCCCCTGGCCACACTGGCTGCTGGGCATTCCAGGATCCTGGCACCAAGCCTGGGGTGAAAACAGAGCTGCAGGCTCCTGGGTTGCTCTCGGCCCCCTCCTCCTGGGTTTGCAGCAAGCTTAATCTCTGCGTGTGCAGACTCAGAGGAGCCAGCGGGAGGGAGGCTTGCCAGAGGCCTGGACCCTCCACGGGCAGCAGACCCCCACCTTGAGCCCCTCCTGGGCAGGTAGCTCCAGCGCAGTTTCCACAAAAGGTGGCTGGCAGCCTGCTACAGTGGACCCAGGGAAGGACACTGGCCCTGTTCCCTCTCTCCCCAAATGGAGGTTCATCTGATCCTGAAACATCCCACCTCCCACCTCTACGCAGCTATGGAGAGACTCTTTCCATCTCGGGGCTGAAGTGTCCTGGTTCCACTCCAAAACTGTAACTCATGTGAGTCATACGAGTGAGCCTTGGTCCTGTGTCACTCCAAGCAGCTGGACTCTTCCAAGAATGGAGAGAACTCACTTGTGCTTACAGTCGATAAATAAGTATCAAATAGTGAAACTCATCATGTGTCCCTTCTTGCTGTGGCAGCCAGGAGGCTCAGAACTGAATGGGAAACACAATCCTTAACCATCTCGCAGTGTATAATTAGCGTAATCAGTGCAACTCTTTTTCTAGGCCTCTGACACTCTCTGGTTGTTTAACTGTCCTGTTCAGTACTGGCTGGACATCTTAAACCAAAATCCCAAATACTTTGAAATCTGAAACTTTTTAAGCACTAACTTGACACTCAAAACATTTCCATTTGGGGGCATTTTGGATTTTCAGATTTGGGATGCTGAACCAATAGAGTCTAGGCAAACATTCCAAAACCTGAAAAATTCCCACCCCTAAAACACTCTGGTCCCATCTGAGCACTTTGGATAACGGATGCCCAACCTCCGTATGCTGTGTTTGCGGACATTGCAAATCTTTCACGGGATGACAGGTGGGTGTGAACGAGAAGTCACAAAAGTAAGGAACCCACAGGCAGCTCTACTTTGAGGTGCAAACAGATGTTTTTCTTAGAAGCCTGTGGATACCTGGGACCGTCTGACTTGGAACATCTGTCGGCCCCTTTCCCCAGCCCTTCTCTCTGTCTCTTTCCCTCCCCATTTTATTTTTTCCTTCCCTTTTCCTCTCTTCTCTCCATCCTTTGAATAAAGAGATCTCTTATTATTGCTTGCTATCCCTCCCGCTTCCGGTCCTCCTTCCTTCCATCCCCTCTCTCCTCCTCCCTCTCGCGCCCTGCCTCTGTGGGCAGCCAGGGTAGCACTGATATCCCACCTACACGGTGAGCACTCGGCTCTTCCCAAGGCCTTGCTTCAGCCTTATCATTTATTCCTCCTGGGAACAACCTGGCAAGTGTAACGTTCGCATTTTACCCTCGGAGACTCTGAGGCCTAGAGAAGCAAAGGCGGTGTCACGCAGCTCAGATTTTGCAGCCTACTATCAGAATCAGGCTCTGAGCCTCCTGAGTCCAACGCCATCGCTTCCTCCACCGAACCTCACTCTCCATCCTCGCCTCAACAGCCCTTCTCGCCACCAGCCTTGCCAGGCAGGGTCACTGCGGGAGTGAGGATTGAAAAGCATAACCCATCTGTCTTTCTTTCTGGGGTCTCTTGTAGAGCTGAGATCCTCCGTGGACCCAGTAGGAGGAGGCGACTGCATTATGCTGTGAGTCACCTGATCCTTAATTCATTTGGCAAATACTGATTGATCGAGACGCATGCTATGAGCTGAGCAGAGCTGAGACGGGTGTAAGACAGGCTAGGTGCAAAGCGTATGGAGGTCTCGTGCTCCGTGTCAACCTGGCAAGTGCAGTGGCTCCGGGAGGGAGGACCTCTTCGAAGATCATGGCCCAGCAGCTGGCTCACCTTTCCCTGGTCTTGCCCTGGTGACAAGCAAGGGGAAGGTACGAGGAGTCGGTGGTGAGCTAAAGAGCCTGCCGCTTACTCTCAGGGAGCAGACGCACTTGTGCTAGCAGAAGACCGTTATGCATGTGACATGTGTCATGATGCGTGACACAGGGCTAGGAAAGGGTACTGACGGGTGGAAGGGCAGTGAGGACACACCAGGTTCCCAGGCTTTGTGGAAGGGTGGAACAGCACATCCCAGTTGGGCAGTGAAGGGCACAGCTCCCGGGGCAGGGAGGCCCCATGCAAGTGGTTCCGAAGCAGTGAGTTCTAAGAAAGCGCCGGAGTTTGCAAGTGGTTGACTTAAAAATAAATCTGATCCAATGGCGAGACTTTAAAGCCACCTCTCCCTGATGTCATCTGTCTCCACCATCCTGGCAGCTTTCTTCAGTGTGACGTGCAGGGACTGCCCCCCAGTCTCTGTCTATGTCACACAGCCGCCACTGGAATGGACTCTACTATCAGGCACACTGTCCACATGCAGAAGCGGGAGTGCAGCGATGTCAGGTACCCTGCGGTGTTTGTCAGCCCGTGCTGCAACAGAGGCAGCCTGTGGACCGACCCAGTGGCTTGCACAGCATCATTTATTTCTCCCGGTCTGGAGCCTGGGAAGGCAAGATCAAGGTGGCAGGGACACAGCCCCTGGTGACGGCTTGCTGCCTCGTGGATGGCCACCTTCTCAGATGGCCACTTCTCGTGCTGTCCTTGCACCATGGAGACAGAGGGCACGGTGACCCTTAAGACCTCAGTCTTTGTCACCTCCTCACAGCCCTATCAGCACACAGTCACAAGGGGGCTTAGGGTTTCAGCGTCTGCATGGGAGAGGGAGGGTGACAGTCAGTCCACAGTACCTGCCCTAGGGTGTTACAACCCCTGGGATTGCAACTTGGGCCTCACCTTTCCAAGCCCAGGCCCCTAACCACTAGATGTCACCGCCTCAAGATATCTGTGTGTGACCCTGGCCCACCCAAGTGACACCTGCTCCTCGGTTAAGGGAAGGGTGTCCGGCCGTCCTTACAGCCCTCAGGGCCTCGCCCCCACCTGGGGGCTGGACTGAGGGCAGCGGCCTGAGCCCACAGCAGGGCGATGCCAGTGGCATCCAGACCTGTGATGGGACACCTGGATTTTGGGGTGCTCCTGTTTGCAGTAAACTGAGGGTGAGCCCCAGCTTCCAGCGCAGACTCCACCAGGCAGAATGTGCGTGATCTTGGGCAAGTCGCTGGACCTTTTCCAGTTCGCGGTGACCCCCCCCCCCGACTCCCCGCCACCAGGAGGGGCTGGGGACCGTCCCGTGGCCTCGCAGCGGCTAAGCCCGGGTCAGCGCCACAGGAGGCGGAGAGGGCGCGCGCGCGATCCGGCCGGCGTGCAGGTGGGGACCGCCAGACGCCGCCCGAGCCCG